CCCAGCTATTTGTAGCGCTGGGCGGCTGGGCCTACCTGGTGCTGGCCTCAGAAAACGGCCCAGGTGGTCTGGGTCCCTACCGGACGTCCAGACCCTGCTGCTGATGCAGCATGGCGCAGAAATGCGCCTAGCCTAAAAACGACCTCCTACCGGTGCACCTGGCCCAAGGTGTCGTCTTGGGTCCTGCAGGACCGAAACGACGCCGGTGCTTACCGGTTTGGCGCCAAAAGGCGCCTGGCCTCGTTTCGGGCCTGCCTCTGGTGTACCTAGTCCCAAGGTCCGACCTTGGGGCTGCAAGTCTGAAATGGCACCTGAACAGACAAAAATGAGACAGCACACACACACAAAAAGGGGTAAGTAAAACAAAGCCTATCTTCCTAGTGTGCTACCTAGGGCCTGGAGGGCCGCCGTGGGCTTCCAGGGCGTGTGCTGGATGGTACGCGGCCTGGGGGCCCCTCAGTAACCGTCGGGCCCCTTAAATGGGCCCCATGTGCAGGCGCAACATGTAACACCCCCCCCTCCTTATGAAGTCAAGCCAGTCGGGGGCGAAGGTGCCGATCTGAAGGCGGTACTTGGACGTGGGTACGGCGTGGAGCCGAAGATGCCGGCTTGCCTTTCAACTTCTGTTCATACCGTGCGAGAGCATCGGGCGCTGTTGCCCGAAGTTCCGCACGAGTCAGCCATCAGTCAGCTCTATGGGTGCAATATGCAAAGTGGACCAAAAATCCAGTCGGCCTGTTGCCGTAACGTCACTTGGATGTGATGTTGCTAACCTCTTAGAAACCATTCATCGAAGGTGGGTCTTGCGATCGTCGCCCGGGAAAGTCATCAAGTTCCGCTGGCGTGTAGAGAGCCAACATGGAACAGTGAAAGATCGGGTTGACGGGCAAGTGGGCGGGCACCTGAATGATGAATGAAGGTCCTTCAGGTGCGTCCCCAGCGGGTTCCACGATCGGCCAGGGCCCCATCCGTTTCAGAAGGAGCTTGCGAGAGATATCTTGTTCGATGCTGAATTTCGCAGCGGACACCCAGACAAGGTCGCCAGTACGGAATGGACAAGGAAGACGTTGGCGGTTGGCCTGTTGGCGCATACGTTGCTACGTCTTCGCCATCTGGTCAAGTGCCTTGACAAGAAGCTCTTGCATCCGACGAATGAAGAGAAGATGGTCGTCGCTCTTGGCCGCACGTGGGATGATTGTGTCCAACGGAGAATTGACCGGCGAGCCATGCTCGAACTCAAAGGGCGACATGCCGATAGCCGGATGGATGGACGAGTTGTATGCCAACTCGACATCCGGCAGCCGCTAAACCCAATCTTTCTCGTCGGGACGGATGAAAGTTCGAAGAAGGACCTGTGCGGTATGATGTGCCCTCTCCGTTTGGCCATCAGTTTGGGGGTGGCGAGGTGAGTTTGGCTTGCGGGATGAGCCCCATCGTTTGATGAGCACCAACCAAAAATCGCACATGAACCGAGTGTCGCGGTCGTAGACGATCTCCTTGGGGTAACCCTTGGTTCGAATCCAACCGGCGTGGAGAACGTCGGCCAACTCCGATGCCTTGGCATGATAGCGGCAAGGCAAAAACATGGCAAACTTGGTGAGTCGGTCAACCACCATGAGAATCCCATCCACGCCCGTCTTGTTCTTGGGGAACGGCCCGGTAATGTCCATGGCAATCGCTTCCCTTCGGCGCAAGGGGACCGGTAATGGTCGCAGTTCACCGTACGGACGATGATTGTGTGATTTGCAACAACAGCAAACCTCGCATGACTCGCAATAGCGTGTGTCGTCGTCGAGAAGACCGGGCCACCAAAAATGCTCGCGGAGTCGGCCAATTGTGCGATTGACTCCAAAATGTCCGGTGGCAGGGGCGTCGTGGAATTCGCTAAAAAGTCGCGTGCTCAAGTGTGAATCTTGCGGCACACAAAGTAGATCCTTCCCCCGCGAGTGAACGAGCAAGTATCCCTCTTGGATCTGATAGTGCGAAGGCGTCGGATTGGGAGAGGAACAATTTGCGTACTTGTCGCGAAATTCGGGGTCGGCTTGATACCCGCGGATGAAATTGTCCCGCAAGTCATCCTCAATCTCGAAGGTTGAGTAGACTGCGGTGCAGTGGTCTGGATGCCGTGAAAGAGCATCCTCAAAACGGTTTGACTTCCCCAGAATGTGATCGGGAAAGAAGTCGAATTGGTCGATGAAGGCCATCCAACGGGCGATGGTGTTGTTGACGCTGTCTTGAGACTTGTAGAAGACCAACGGATTGTTGTCCGTTACCCATCGGAACTGGCCTCGGCCAAGGAGGAAGTGCCACCACCGCTTGAGTGTGTGGACGAAGGCGAGAAGTTCCTTCTTGCGTGCATCATCGATTGAGTGCACAACCGACACTTTCTTGCTGAAGTATTCGACTGGGTGCCAGTCCACGCCGTCATGTTGCTTGAGGACGACACCAATGCCATAGCCGGATGCGTCCGTAGTGACACGCGTTGGCAATAGCGGGCGTATATCCGCAATACCTCTGCGGAGAGCAATGCGGCCTCGAGGGCCAAGAATGATTCCCGCGCGTCCGTTCCGAAGTCAAACGGTCGGTCCTCGCATTGAAGCTTGGTTAAGTGGGCCTCGATCTTCGAGTACCCTTTGATAAAACGTTGGTAGTAGCAGGCAAGGCCAAGGAATGATCGGACATCCGTGACGTTCCGCGGCTCCGGGCAATCTTGGACAGCCTGAATCTTGTCCGACAACGGACTGATGCCTTGTGGAGTGCCGAGATGCAGGGTTGTCACCCGGGGACCCCCGGGGGCAAAGCCGGGGCCGGGATTTCACCCCCGGACCCCCTCCCGCGGGGGCGCCGGCCCCCGGACCCCGTTGAAGACCCCCGTGGGACCCCGGCCCCGGCACCCAGCACCCCGGCGCCGCCCCCGGAACCCCCGCCGACCCTGGCCCCGTATCCCCGGTCCCCGCACCCTCCCGGCCCCGGCACCCGGGCCCCGCACCCCCGG